TTTTGCATTTTAACTCATCCTATCCATTTGCGGCTGATGTTACAGTAAGGCTGCATTTATCACTATTTTATTAAACAGGGTGCAGGCTATGTTACGTCATAGTTTCGATTAGTGTATATATATATATTTGCAACAGTCTATGAATAGACATTGCACCATCGGAAACCATGGAACTCAAAACAAGGTACAGAAATAGTAAAAGAAAACACAACACAACAATGTCCACGGTTTCGTCAGAGGGCGAAATACTACCCGGTTGCCCAAGCCGAAGTAGGATGTTGACTTAGGGGACACCACCCCGAGCCTTTGGCTGAATAGCCTGTGCGCAAGGCAGCGGAGCGAATTCAGGGAATCGCGCCCATTGGGAGCCGGTGACTGATTGATCAGTTCATACGCCTTTCGTTTGTTCCTTTGCTAAACAGGGGCCCAATGCTCCCCGAAATTACAGCATCAACTTGCTGGAATACAATGCTTCGCCAGGATGAAGCAAGGGGCAGTGACTTTATTTAGTGGCGAGTCACGTCCGCCACGTCACAGTGTTGTTAAACGGACATATGTGGCTTTTTATAGGGAGAACGCTTGCCAGGCGAAAACCCACCACGTCCTGGAACACTGCCGCCGAACCATTTGCTGGAACGGGAAAATCCCGAACCACCCAGCTGGCACCACGAGGAGGTTGTTCGGCAAGTGTACTTGATCCTGGCGTCAGAAATGCTGTGCTGATTGATCGTTCCCGTGCCCTCTCTTAGACACGAAAGACTACTGATTGTGGAAACTCAGAACACACTTCACGGTAGCGAAATTCACAGTTTTCCTATAGCAGGCAAACATTCCGAGGCTTCTGATACATTTCTGGGTGGTTTGATGAAATTGCCCCACTGAGAACATCACGTAAACATTACTTTTGGCTCACTGGTGTTGTTGAGAAAATCGATCATCTGACCATCACCATCATGTACTATCATAGTTGACGTTCACATGTGAGATTGTTCATTGATCACATGGAGACATTTTCATGGCGTATCTATGTGAGCGCATGTCATAGTGTTGGACATTGGCATATTTTCCTAACCGAAAGAACGCCAACTAAGCCGACCGGTCTATCCAGGTTCCTTCGGATTTGGCTCCAGATGCGTTGCCAATGATGGGATGTAAGACCACCTAATTTCCGTCGCACAGCATCCCACTTAATAGTGTTTTAAATCAGCACATGACTGCCGACCCGTAGCTTTAATGAGCACAAATCTGCCTTACAATCCGATGGCGCGCCTTCTAGCCTACGTAGGAACTGGGCTACCGTCGCAGTAACCTTAACTCGCATGCGACTGGTGTTGGCTGCGCTGCAACAAAGCGGCGTTACTGCGTACCGGTATATAGTTGATGTCTGATACACTCATGGCGCCCACCTATTCGGTGACGCGCACTGACTACTGTCAGACGCTCAAACATGCGTCAGTAATGATTAAGTAGTTTCCGACAGAATAACGAGAGATCCCTTCACCTTGTATTTCATATATATGACAGTCATGTAGATCTTATCCCATCCTTTGCAAACTCGCGACAAAGTCGGCGCAGTAGCGCCGTGTGAATGCAGTCTCCGGTCAGTAACGTTTAATCACATACACTGAGCATACTGATGAGAATGCTTGAACCCATTTACGTAGCCACAGGTCTGTAACTTGTCACGATGACGCTTTTATCAAGCGGGTGGAGATCGCCTAGGTGGATGATTTCTGTTCATTCCGTCTCCCAAACAGTGACTGATGGCCATTAACCCAGAAAACACTACATGCGGTCAAGAGGAGATCTCCAGTCCGTAAAGGATATCAGTAGATAGCGCTTAACAGCGCGGCCAGAACCTAGTGAAATGGAATGAAGGTGGGACGGCGTTTTCAGTTTTATGCGGGAAACGGACAGAACTAGCGATGCATGTAGAAATGGCAGACAAATGTTTTCAATCCGAGAGTGTTTAGCAGGGTCACTTATGCGTTCCGACCTTGTCGTATGAGGGTTGCTACTGAGATCTTGTGATGTAACAATCAAGAAACATATGTTTCCTACCTAGCAGTACGGTAGCCGTTTATCGGTGAGTTACTTATCAGTGGGCCACATAATAAGAAATTAGTACATATGTGTAATGTTTACCCGCGACACGCGTACTCCAAAAGACAGAGGAGCGGGTTGACTTGATTGTGCGCAAAAAGACCTCTTCCGAAAGACGCAACGTCACGGTGGGATATCATCCAAGATACCGGGTAAACGTCAGCATCAAGCTAAGCTACCCGAAAAAGAATGTTCTATAATGTTCAGGTTTGCCTACCGTTGAACACAATGAAGGGCACCTTGTTAACACGCATCATTTCAAAATATGACGAAGAAGCTATCTCTTGCATTTATAAGCGTAAGTTTGACGGTATCGTATTATAAACGTATTTGCACTTAATCGCTTAGTTAAACAACAGACTACACAACTAGGTTACAAAAATATTTTGCCGTAATAACATGATTTCTCTACAACCACATTCATTCATTCATTCATTATTCATTATACACATCAGCTAGAGGTGGGAAAACACCTCAGCTATTGTGCCGCAATACATGAAAGAATAACATACATACATACATATAATACAATACACAAAGGAAAAATAGATACAACAGTTGCATGCCAACTGACCTACCAGCAACGGATAGGCATCATTCCGGTAAGCTTCCAGCCAGCTACTAGGCAAAAAGAAATTTTTTTATTTATTTATTATGTTTACCTTAGGAAATGAGATCGTAGATGGAGGGGAAGACTAAAAGGGATGGGGAGGGGTAAAGAAACTCAGAGCAGGAACGTCACGGAGGTCGGCTCCTTGCCATGTAAGCAAGTGTGTCCAGCCAAACGTGTTCACCGTCTTTTGGACCCCAACCAGGGAGCCGTGAAGCCCCAACCGAAGCTAGCTCCGAAGTGATGGACTTCATTCCTCTGGACCAAGTCATCGCTTGGCCACCTCTCCTCTTCGTACACCCACATCCCTGGTGAGCAAATAACGCACGTCGCGGGAGTCGGTGGGTTGGCATGCGTAACACGTAGCTGAGCCATCGAAGCTTGGTGCGTGAAATAACGGTGCTGAGCGGTTCATATCCTTTTCGTGGGCCGTAAACAATGCGTCGAACACGCTAGTTACTCACGCGGTGTTCCCACCAGATGTGAGCCAAACTGCGAAGGCCCCGATGGTCGAACGTTGCTAGCATCTTCAAGTCCGCTGACCTCAGGGGCCAGGTTTCGCAACCGTACAGTTAGGTCGAACTCGCCGCTGAATTGTACACTCTACCCTTCAGGGCGAGAGTGATTTCGCGCCGCCGCCATAGGTGGCGAAGGTTAGCAAAACCACTTCGAGCTTTTGCCATACGGTTCGTGATCCCGTCTTCGAGCCCAAGAGCGCTGATAAAACTTCCCAGGTAATTGAATTTCTGTACTACTTCTAGCTGATCCCACCAAGGGTCAGCGCAAAAGGCGATCCCTGCCAATCTTGGAGGAACGCATTGTACTTCGATGGTGCAAAGCAAAGCTCGAAGCGGCTGACAGCCAGTGCTAATCTGTCCAGCGCGGCTTGGCACGTCTGGGAGCTGTCACAGATGAGGGCAATGTCGTCTGCATACTCCAAGTCAAGAAGTCGTTCTCCTGGTAGTAGCTCCACACCTTCCAAGTCATGTCCTGTAAATGCAACCTCCATGACTTCGTCAATATCGAAGTTGAGTAGGAAAGGTGACAGCGGGCATCCTTGTTTCACACCTCTGGAGATTTTGTAGGGTTTCGACAGCTCGCCGTAAGCCCTCACTCTGCCCATGCTACGCAGATATAATGCTTGCATAATATTTACATAATTCTCGGGCACACCTTTCCTGAGTAGACGATTACAAAGGACACAGTGATCAACCGAATCGAATGCACCTTTGATGTAGAGGAACACGACAACTTTAGGCCGCCAATTGGTGTGGCGGTGCTCCAACAACTGACGCAAGGTGAAGATGTGGTCGATGCAGCCACGACCCCCCTAAAACCACATTAGGTACTCTCTGTCCAAATGGACGTGAAAAATACACAACGGAAATGAATTTTGATTAAGTGAAATTTATGATGCAATTAGGAGGCGCCATTAGACGAACGGGTGCATGATCATGGATTCACATTAGTTTGTAACGTTACAAGCTTCAGCAGTTTGGGGGAGCAGGTAAACTGCAGCGAAATAGACAAACTACCAAAAAATGTGTATGCCTATTCGTAGATATTTGCAAATATGTATATACTGGCTTGCCAATCAACCTCGTGGTGCCAGCAAGGTAGTTCGGGATTTTCCCGTTCCAGCAAATGGTTTGGCGGCAGTGTTCCAGGACGTGATGTGTTTTCGCCTGGCAAGCGTTCTCCCTATAAAAAGCCACATATGTCCGTTTAACAACACTGTGATGTGACGGACGTGACTCCCCACTAAATAAAGTCACTGCCACTTGCTTCCTCTTGGCGAAGCATTGTATTCCAGCAACGTTATGCTGTAGTTCTGGGGAGCAATGGCCCCTGGTTCATAAAGGAACAAACGAAAGGCGTATGAACTGAGCAGTCAGTCACCGGCTCCCAATGGGCGCGATTCCCTGAATTCGCTCCGCTGCCTTGCGCACAGGCTATTCAGCCAAATGCTCGGGGTGGTTTCCTCGAAGTCAACACCCTACTTCGGCTAGGGTAACTGGGTAGTATCTCGCCCACTAACGAAACCATGGACATTGTTATGTTGTGTTTTACTATTCCTGTACATTCGTTTGAATCCCATGGTTTCTGATGACATTATGTCTATTTGTAGACTTTTGCAAATATATATGCATGCTAGTCAACTGTAAAAATTCGCATAACTTTTAATGACGATTACCAACCCATGTGAATACCGACTGAAGACTAATTAAGTGATGCATATAAACTCATAAGCGCATGTAGTAAGTCAAGGGGTAAAAATTCAACTTACGTTTGTTACAGGCACATTTTTGGTATTAATGAAAAAAGAACGTGAGTATCGCAAGGTGGTATAATTTGGTGCTATCGGATCAACTGCAAATGACAATACATTCAGGGATCACGTGATAAAATCAATGCTTTGAAACAAGGTCACATGCAAGGTGTCATTAGGGCAGGTTTCTACATACACAATTTTGGACGCTGCCTTTTGTTGGTCACAGCCTCAGCTACTTCAATTCTGTGGCATTTGGTCCAACATGGATGGTAGCATCCGGTTCTGGATTTGCCTGTCACTGTGACCTCCACAGGACAGCCATAAGGCGCCTGCGCCTACAGAGGGACCATGGGTGGCTTGCTCTGCACCAAACACAGCTGCAAGCACGCACGCCATATCCAGTGTAAACCCGAAGGAATAAGACCGGGAGGCATGTGGATGGGAGTCACGTTTTATCAACGGAGCCGGTTCATACTCCTTCACAAACAAATACAAGCACGCTGTATTTGGGAATCAACTACACACAAGGCGGGCGCTAGACCATGGTCCGCTCCACACTGGCTGCATGGAACCACTATTTGATGCTAACACTGTCATAAGGACCGTGCACCCCGTCCCCTCCAGCCACAACAGACTGTCTCCTGGAGCCATTATGGACGAGTTAGTGGATAATAGACAAGTTGGCACCTTGTCAACGTGCAGATCAAGCGCAGCCACAAAGGTGATATCAAAAAGGGCCAATCACTTGAAGCGAAGATTTCAAGTAAAATGAAGCGAATAATGCATGCAGATATGGAGATATAACTCATGACTAAATGAGCGGATAAGTAAATAATAACTTAACGTTTTATTCCTCAGCAGTGCGAGGCACAGACCAATTGGTTGCAAACAAATCCGCGAAAGGTTCAAGACGTCAGCAAAGGGATTTAAACACTATGTTATCGAAGTTAGCTATTCTTAGCATAAGCAACGGGCGCAAGTTTATAGAAGATAGTTTATGTAGACATTAATACGTGATAAAAAGGCATTAGCACACTAAAGCAAACCCAGGGACAGTAGCTGATGAGCGCGTTGTAATACAGTCCTGGCCGATTCGTGTAGAAGACATGCGTCGTCCTTCTGCCTTCGATGCCGGTTGCTTAAGGAGGATCGCTCGTGTTTGGTAGCAAAATCGATTTAATACTAATGACGTTCGACCTCACATCTTGAGGAATGCAAGTATTTCCTTCAACATACTGGTTTTGCTGCGCCAGTTAAGACGGCTCGGTCATGTCCTACGCATGGCACCTGAGTGTCTACCGCGTCGCGCTCTATTCGCTCGTCAAGGACCTGGCTGGAGGCGACCGCGTGGTGGTCAGCCTTCCACTTGGCGGCAGCACATGAAAACACTGACGTCGTTAAAAATCCGTGGGAACATTTGTAGCTCGGGATGCGGATGAGGGTATGCGGGTGTTCTCCGAGCTGAGTGATTTAGCTGCAAACGTTTCATCGTCAGACTAGACAACATCATCGCACTGATGATGTCGTCTAGTCCGACGATGAAAAGTTTGCAGCTAAATCAGTCAGCTCGGAGAACACCCGCATACCCTCACGCTGACGTCTTGTCTAGCCGCTGTTTGATCCATACATCTTCCAGGATGGGGACCCAAAGATGAGGAGTGCCAATGGCTTAGGTCTCTTGAAGACATGGCCCGCAACCGGAATTAGTGGAAGAATTGTGTACAGTAGTGTATTGATTCACATGTTTAATAGTACTAATATTGAAAATGACAAAAAAGAAAAAATCGGCGTACGATAAACAAACTAAAAATGTTTTGTTCTATTTTTTGTCAAAATATTCCATTCTTCTTGCGGCATATTAGCTGAAGTGTGATGCCTACTTTAACTACCATGCCACGATGATTATGACGCAATGACTGTCTCCTATCCACTTATCTCCGTGGCTTTGTTAGCTCTATGTCTATTTGCTAGACTTTTGAGATTACATACATACATACAAAGCGAACCCACCACCTGAAATAAAGAGATTCAGCATGCAAGCACGAGGTTAATAAATCGAATGCAGCGTAACTACAAAAGCTGTGCCGGTTCTGCCTACGTTTATGCAGGACCCGTCGTCGCTTCTGTGGTGGCCCCGAGTGGCCTCGCTCATAGATAACTATGCCTGCTTGACTCAGGCACTCACGACCATGTGTGCTACAGCACCACGCGCTCACTGTCAATGTAGTACAACCCATCGGTTCTTGCCGCTTGCGCACTTGCAGCTTCTTCTCTGCATGTGTGAGGTCTTTCTCCTGCACTTCGGTAACTGCCTTCGTTATTAGATCACGCCATGCATGCCGAGGAACCGCCTTCGATTCCTATGACCTACAATCAAGATTGGAACGTGAGATGCTCACTTTGACCATGTCCTGGTAAAGTGACTTTGCTTCCCCTATATGCCGCTTCCCAATACTCAGCTGTCCATCTTATAGTTGGTTCGGTATCCGCTTTGAATCCATACGGCTCACATGAACGATCCACTTCAGGTGTCAGCAAAAGTACGCAGTCCATTGCATACCTCCCACTTTGTCGCAACACTTCCGTGTCCGAAACTCTGTCGCACTAACCGACCCACAAAATCCGTCGCAAACACTGCTGATGGAACAGCTTGAAATATATCACATCACGCCGGTACATCGTTGACGGTTCACTGCTGTATGGAAGAACAGACAGCAACATGGATTTGCACACCATCAGCTTCGTGCCAATGATAAGCTAGCTTCCCGAATGCCGCCGTTGTCTTCGACATGCAGAAAAGCAGCTCACTGTGAAGCTGCTGACCAATGTAGCAGAAGCGTGAGGTGGCTTCTAATACTTCAGTACCAATGCTGATTTGTGGGAATATTGAATCAAACACCTCCGGTGAATGCTGAAAGAGACAGACCGTTTTGCTTGTGTTGATGGTGAGCCCGAATTTGGCCGCTTTTGAAGCCAGAGCAATAGTCATGGGCTGCAACTCATCCGCGCTGTGTGCAAACAACACAGTCGTCAGCAAACAGCAACATACGGATAGTTGTCTCACAGACTAGGGTTCTGGCACCGAAACGACGGATGTTCAGTAACCCACCATCAATACAGTGCTCCACAAGTACAGCGTAAGCACAAGCAGCATCAAAAGCACAAGAACATTGCATGAAGAAAATTATTAAACAGGGCAAGCTCTAAGACAGTCTTGTTTTACACCAGTGACCACAGCAAATTCATCCGAGGCCTCTCCACTCAGCTGCACCCTCGTCCGCATACCACTGTGCAGACATTCAATTAAACTTAAAAATTTACGCGGGCAACCAAACTTACCCAATTCCAACCACAATGCCTCGTGGTTCACTTAATAAATGCCTTGGTGAAATTAACAGAAGGCAAGTACAACGGCGGGTGTCTTTCTCTGTACTTCTTTAACTGACGAGCTGTAAACACCATATCTATAGTGCTGCGACCTGAATGGAATCCACATTGCTCTTCCGCCACGTCAGGTTCCACAACCTGACTGACGAGGCGCATTACCACGATTCAGGCCATCGCCTTGCTAACACAACTCAGCATGTTGGTGCCACGATAATTCGTGCAACATTGCTTGCTCCCTTTGCCCAGATACAGTGGTAGCATAAGGGCATCCTTCAACTCAGGAAGAACCTCCTCAACCCACATGCGTTGCACCAAGTGGTGCACACTTGTCGTTTCGCAGCTGAGCAAGTGCCCTCTGCGTCTCACCCAGTGTCGGCGTGTCCGCCATACTCGTCTTCACATCGTTCTGCTTCAGGCCGTTCAAAATAGGCCAGTCGATCTCGGAACGGTTATTCGAGAGACAGACAAAGTGTTTCCGCCAGATCTGCATTAGGTCTTAACTCTGTGTGCAGGTAACACCTGAGCTACCATGGATCAGCATCCTCAATGGCTCCAATCTCGGTCCATACACTGCCTTCAAGGAGTCAAAGAATTCCTTGTGTTGGCGGCGTTCGACGTAGCATACCATCTGCTTCGCCTTCTCGGTCCACCATGCATTTTTAACTCGACGGTGCTCTCGAGTCAGCCGCCATCGAAGTTTGCGAAACTGACTATTCTTCCCCAAGTCACTGTGGGTTTCGATATGTGCAGCAAATTCTGCGTTCTTCTCGCACACCAATGCGCCAATCGTCGCACTGCTCTCATCAAACCAATCAGGCCGCTTACAGTTTGCTCGCCTGATGATCTGTCATCTGGTCGCGAATGTGGTGCCACAGGTCGCCCACTGTGGCTATACAGTCCACATCACCACACAGGCGTGTAGCCATCGCCTTCTCCAGCTCAGTACGTTTCGCCACAGTACCGAGGGAGAGAATGTTAAATTTACGCCGATTCACGGCGGGAGTGCAATACATAAATTTACGAAAATATATGTACACTTTGGTGCGCACCAATTTGTGATCAGTGCCACACTCAGCGCCACGCAGTACACGTGTCACGCATATCACGTTGACGTACGATGACATAGTCGAGCAGGTAAGCGTGACCACTCCGTGGGTGCGTCCAAGTTGTTATATCACTCGCACTCAGTGCAAACCGAGTGTTCGTGATCGTCAGGCCGTGAGTGCACACAGTGAGAGCAGCCTGTCACCGTTCGCATTCGCTGAACTGATGCCATGCGAACTGATAACATCTTTCCACACCGATGCATCACGCCCAACGCGAGCGTTGAAATCACCCATCAGAAATAGTCGGTAGCTCCTCGGCACACACCGTAGCACGGAGGATAGCTGAGTGTAGAATTGATCACGCGTGTCATCAGGATAACACATGGTCAGACCGTAGTGTTTATAAAAGTGGCAAACTTACCTATCCCGAGTCTTAGGCGAACCGGCATCAGTGGCGCGCTGATGCCCGTTGGTTCACCCACCAGCTGGCCATGGAGGCGATCGGATATTGCGAATCCGACTCCATGTTCACGTGGTGCTGATGCGGCGTTGCCTTCCCAGAATAATGTGTAGGCAGCACTTGCCTCATGCCTTTTACCTTGCTC